GTTTGAGTTGCTTATATGAGTTTCCCAAATAAATCATCAAATGAATTCTGAATGGGGATTAGGACAGAATTTCCAACAGTATCTGAAACATCTGCCATTTTGTACTGCGTATTTCTGTAAGACACCGTCCTCAGCATTGATGATTACAAAATCAAAACACTAAACCACTCAGAAAATGTTAGGATGTTCTACATCCTGAAGCATCAAATTTTCAGCCAAGATTTAATTCTTTATGTAAAAATAAACAAGCACATCTGTCTTATTAGTATGCAAATTTGATTTCATCTTTAATAAATCATAATATATAATTAATTATATATTATAATAATTAATAATATAATCTTTAATAAAATTATATGTCTACCAAAGAATTGTGAGGTTTTTGTTTGTTTTATTTTGTTGAGACACTGTAGCCCCACCTGGCCTAGAACTTGCTATGTAGACCAGTCTGGACTCTGATTTCTTTCTCAAAGATCTACTTCCTCTGCCTACCAAATGCTGGGATTAAAGGTGTGTACCAACACAGAGAACTTTGTTTTAATTTGTTGAGAGAGAATCTCACTATGTAGCCCTGGCGGGCCTGTAACTTGCTATTGAGACCAGGCTGGCCTTGAACTCACAGAGACCTGCCTGACTGAGTCTGTCTTCCAAGTGCTGAGATCAAAGGCATGTGCCACCATGCCTGGTCTCCAAAGAACTGTTTTAAAATAACTTTATTGGGCCAGGCATGGTGGTGCACACCTTTAATCCCAACACTTGGGAGGCAGAGGCAGGCAGATCTCTGTGAGTTCAAGGCTAGCCTGGTCTACATAGAGAATTCTAGGCCAGCATATTTACCTGGGATTGGCAAGATAGCCCAGCAGTCAAAGTGTTTGCTGTGAAAGCAAGAGAGGCTGAGTTTGGATTCTTAAAACCTACATAATGCTCAGTAGGCATGACAATTTGCCTGTAATTCCAGCCTTAGAAAGGGGAGACGGGATTCCCAGAGCTGGACTAGCAAATTAGTGAACTCTGGGTTTGATAGAGAGACCCTGACTCAATGAATAAGATGAAAGAGCAATGGAAGAAGATTCCCAACATCAGTCTTGGGCCACCACATGCATGCACACTTGCAACACACATGCACCTACACACATGCTTATACACACACACACATACACACAGAGGCGTGCACATCACACACATATACACATGAAGAAAGAACATACGCACCTCAACGTTTTCTGCATTAAACCTATGATACCCAATAATTTCAGGGGTGATCTCCATTACATCGAAATAAAAACCTGAAGCAGGATCAGGAAGAGATTAGTTGTTAAAGCCCCAGAACAAAGAACAGATTCTCTAAAGATTTAGAGAAGGGCAGAGCCCTAGGTGTATTCTCAGTTCCTTCTCTCCAGTAGAACTGAAAGCTCTGGGCTAGTTTTTCTCAAAGCTAGCTCATCTTACTTTCACTTGGCAGCTCAACCTAGGAAGCAGCTGCCTGGCTAACCCTAACCCTAAACCTAAACACCACCTGACGTTTGCCCCTTCTTTCCTCAGAATGTGGGCTGGGTGTTCAGTATTCTTCCTAATACAACCTTGTTCCTGGAGCAGGAGACTGTGTAAGGAGAAGCACAGGGCACAATAGATGCTGTGGCTGACATCTATGATGTTGTCACCAGGGACTTTAGAAGATGTAGCTATAGCCTGACCTTCCATCCACTTGAGCTAAGGGTAGCCTCACAACCCCACCCTCACTCAGAACATGGGGTCCCACAGCAGCTTGTGAGGTCTGCAAGTATAGATAGGACCACCCTGAACTTCTCTGCATCCCTTAATTCATGGTGCCCCAGGCCTCACTAACCAGCCTACCCAGGTTTCCACTGTTCCCCATCTCTGTGGACCGCAGGGCCTTAGAGAACTCGCTCCAGGAACAGGAAGCAGAGTCATCACGGATCTTCTCTCTCATGAGGGAGCCATTTTTAAAGCTGCAGAAGTAAACACAACTCTGAGCACTGGACCCACAGATTTTGTGGCCCTAAGGCTGGAACCCAGGTCCCTGCACATAATAGGCAATCATTCTACCACCAAACTACATCCTTAGCCCAGACCCTGGGGTTTTAGGAGTCCCAGGAAGAGGGGCTTCAGGTCAGCCCATGGGCAGTATATAGCAAGACAGCCTGACTCTCAGGTATCTAAAGCCCTCCTTGAGATTCCATAGATATCCTGGCTGGTCTCACACTTACCTTGGGTTCTGTTTATGCTGGAGGTTGCCACAGTGGAGAGCCCAGACAGGGTTGGGGTTTCTATACACTGTATCACATGTCCAAGCGGGGGCAGGGCATTAGAGCAGATATTTTCTAGCAGTTCTAAGTGCTTAGAGGCTCAGAAGCTTTCCAAGTGGATAGCATCCAACAAGTATCAAAGGCCTGTGGTCAGGACACAGGGCACATGCCTTCTATAAGAACTACCAGGAAGCAGGGCTGGAGCCATGGCTCAGCAGTTAAGAGCACTGACTGTTCTTACAGAGGACCTATGTTCAGTTCACAGCACCCATATGGTGGCTATCAATTGTCCATAACTCCAGTTCCAGGGACTCTGACACCCTCTTCTGGCCTCTGTGGGCTCTGCACTTATGGGTACACTTACACACATGCAGGCAAACCACTCACATAAAATAAAAATAAAGGAAATTAAAAATAAAGAAAAGTCTTCTTTAAAAATTTAAATAAATCCCTGGGCATGGTGGCACACACCTTTAATCTCAGCAGTTAGGAAGCAGAGGCAGGAGGATTTCTGTGAGTTTCAGGCCAGCCAGAGGCTACAGGAAGACTGTTTCAAAAAGACAAAAAAAAAACTTAAAAAATTTAAATAAATCTTTTTTTAAAAAATAACTACGAGGGGGCTGGACAGATGGCTCGGTAGTTAAGAGCACTGGCTGCTCTTGCAGAGGATCCAGGTTTGGTTCCCAATCAACATGGTGCCTAACAACCATCTGTAACTCCAGTTCCAAGGGATCCAATGCCCTCTTTTGACCTCCGCAGGCATTGCATGACATGACATGTGTACACTTACATACATGCAGGCAAAACACTCGTACACACAAAGTAAATAAATAATTTTTTGGTCTCTTTGAGACAGGATCTCCCTGTAGCCCCAGCTGGCCTAGAACTCTCTAGGTAGACCAGGCTGGCCTCAAACTCACAGAGATCCACCTGCCTTTGCCTCCCAAGTGCTGGTATTAAAAGCATGTGCCATCATGTCCGGCTAATTAATTAATTTTTTTTAAAAAACCTACCAGGAGGCAAGATGTCCTCTAGACCATCTGTTAAGGGTCTGCCACAAGCTAAATATGTCAGACACTAGGGAGTAAACATCTTATTCTCCTAGCTCATGAAGAATCTGTGGCTCAGATATTCTATAGGGTTTACCCCATGTCACACATGGGTGGTGGGTGTACAGTTTGAACCTAAGCTTTGGGGAACTCTAGGTCTTGGGCTCCTCCCCACACAGCTCTGCTGTCAAACAAGAACTTATGGGTCCCAGTGGTCTCAGCTACCCATGAGGCAGTTTGGTAGAACAACTTGGGGTGTTCGGTGGTGCCAGATCTGTTTGCATCACCTTCCCTCTACCCAGACAATTAGGTCAACCCATGTCTGGTCTTACCACAGGAGTGCCATGTAGTGCTGGGAATCCACTGGGTTGCAGAAGATGTGGCCTTCCAGGGCAGGTATAGGCTCCTGGAGCCAGAGGAACAGGGTGTCGCTGGTGCCTAGGCTTACCTGGGGAGAGAACAGAGTGTCTCACCTAGGAATTATCTACAAACACTTCCTCTCTACCAGTGACACAATCGCTTCATTCCTCATACTATACATATCACCTCAGACACACCGCCTCCTCAGAGACTCTTCTTTTGACCATCCCAGACCAGATGAGTTAAAGGTCAACTCTCCAGATTCAGGCTCCCATGGACACTATTACTGACTTCTAGAACTTACAAGCACAAAAATAAGAAAAATAATGGTTTCCCAAATGCCTTCCCCACTAGATGCTGGAAGCCATAGGTTAAGACTTCCTATTCACCTGGGGGGGCTCAGGGCATGCTGTCCCATGTCCAACCCTCTGCCACTGTGCCCAGCAGATTGGTCACTGTCAAGCAGACAGGGGTCTTGCTGACTCAGCAAAGAACCACAACCTTCTAAGGAAAGACATGTCGGCCACTATCCTCTTTAGAGGGAACAGACCCTCTGACAGGTAGCAAACACACCCCTGAGCCCCAGAACCCTAGTCCCCAGGGCAGAGAGAGTTTATGGGTATGAGATGTCACCTTACCGCAATGTCACCTTCCTCCAGCCTCATGCCTGCCAGCGATGCTGAGAATGGAAGAGGAGCCTCTGGTTAGCAGGAGCCACAGGAGAACCACAAAGCAAACTGCAATAATCCCCTAGACAACAACAGAGCTACCACCTTCTGCCTCAACCCACAGTTCAGAAAGCTGAGGGCTCAGGGAACCCAATAGGCGGCAGGTTCAGAGGGTAGAGCTGCTCTGGTCAAGGCCTCTGATTTGGGCCATGGATGTCTCTTCCCTCAGTTCAAACTCCTCACCACTGCCAGGCACTCCCAGAAGGGCAGAGAGCTGAGGGGACCACAAAACACCAAGAACACCCATGACAAAGACAAAGGTAAGACAGGAGCGAGAAGGCTTTCCTCACCAGGAGACAGGAAAGGAAGGGCTTTGGAGAGGTTATGACAACTGTCCTCCACCTTCGACATGGGGCTCCCTGAAGCAATCCTTATCTGCCCTGTTTGCTGATATGCTCCATTACTGCAAGAAGTCCTGGCACACAGCTGGGGCTTACTAAATGTTGAATGAATGAACTAATGAGTAAAGGAAAAATTAACAGAAACAAACATCCTTGAACTCAGCCAGTGGGATTCAGCTGGGTCCAGAAAGCCCACTCTACAAACTCCTGTAGTGACCAAGAGACAAGAGAGGACATGCGCTTTGAGGCTGTGCACATGCACAAGCATGGAAAACAATGCAAAGCTCCTTCCACAGGATGGAAACTAGGGCAGGACAGCTGAAGCCTAGACACCAGTACAGGGAGTTGACCAAAAGCATGAAGGTATATGTATGAGCACAGAAGTCAAAAAGGAGAGATCCTTCAGCTTAATGCTGAAGGTTCTCTAGGAAAAGGGTGGCTTTCCCATGGTGGAGCTGAGTGCAACAGTCAGGATGCACCTCAGTGCAGCCCATGTGGTCTTCCTTCAGAGAGGCCTTGGGAGCCCCTCAAGAAGAGGCAGGACATGGGTACCATAAGAGGTAAACCATATTTATACATCAAATGACAATGTCTCATTTGATGTTATGTCTCAAAACAATGTCCTGGAGGAAGGATTGGAGTAGCTGCTAGCGGGAATAGTAAGGGGTGGGGTTGGGGAAAGGACTCTTTATTTACCCCCACCCACCTTCACCTGGAGAGAGCACACACCTGAGCAGCCTTTGATGGTGGTCAGGGTCAGGCTGGGACTGAGACAAGGAGGCAGAGTTCAGAAGGCAAACACAGGAAGGCTTCATCAAGAATCTGGCCTGAAAGCTGGGCATAGTAGCATACACTTTATAATCCCAGGGAGGTGGAGACAGGGCTCCAGGCTCCATGGCCAGTCAGCCTAGCCTACCTGGTGATTCCACATTAGTGAGAAACCCTATCTCAGAAAAAAAAGAATGGCATCTGACAACTGAGGTTGTTCTCTGGCCTGCACTCATGTGTACCTGCATATAAACAGACGTGGGGTTGGGGGGAGAGAACAAAGAAGCTAGAATGGAATTCTGTAAAGGGTTGGGGGGAGAGAACAAAGAAGCTAGAATGGAATTCTGTAAAGTCCAGAATGAACCAGGTATGATGGCTCATTTCTGTAATCCCAGTACCCAGGAGGCTGAGGCAGGAGGATTGATGAGCATTTGAGATCAGCCTGGGCTACATAGTAAGCTTCAGGCCAGCCTGGACTATACAGTAAGATCCTGTCTCAAAGGAAAGGAAAGAGGAGGGGAGGGGAGGGAAAGGGGAGGGGAGGGGGAGAGGAAGGGAGAGGGATAGGGGAAAAAGGAAAAATGGAAAGGAAAAGGGAAGGAAAGAAAGAAAGAAAAAGCTCAGTAACCCGGTCAGTCCACTTAGAGTTTGGAAAGAGCTCCCCCACCCCAGCACTTACCTGGGTTGTCCCCAGTGAAGGCCACCACTTTGCATCCTGGAGCAAACCCATAGCGTTGGATGTAGTAGGAAGAAATGGCTCCCTGAGGAGAAAGAGCACCTATACTCTGCCGAAGTAATCACAGCCTGTTCAGTACAGCCACATGCACCTCAGGCCACAGGGTAAACTCCCGGCTCCAGGTCACTGGAGCTGAAGGAGTCTCCTATACCTCAGCCATGCAGAAGCTTTGGGCATCTTTGGCAGATCCTGGAGCACCATCGCCTTCCCTATTCCCAAATCACAGGAGCCCAGTACAGGTTTGGAACCACAAGCCTGAGGTCATCTCAAGGATAATTTTGAGATTCAGCTTGTATCTGTTTTGTGAATGCCAAATTCTGGCAGCAAACTTATGGATGTAGATAATGCCTCACACATTTGTTTATCACCCCAGCAACTAAATTAAGAATAATTAGATATGCAAGTACACAGAACAGTGTTCTAAAGAAAATTAACCTCGAGGTCAGCCTGAGCAACAAAGCAAGTTCAAGGCCAACCTAGACTGTATAAGAATCTGTCTCAAAAAACAAAAGAGGGGGACTGGAGAGATGGCTCAGCAGTTAAGAGCACTGACTGCTCTTGCAGAGGATTCAGGTTCAATTCCCAACACCCACATGGCAGCTAACAACTGTCCGTAATTCCAGTTCCAGGGGATCCAAAGCCCTCTTCTGACTTCAGAGGGTTATTTCATGACACTGGTGCGCTTACATGCACGCAGGCAATACACTCATACACACAAAAAAATAAAAATAAAATAAAATTTAATAAAAGGGGGGGCTGAGGATATAGCTGTTGGTAGAGTGCTCAATTAGTGCACACAAAACACTCGGTTTAGTCCCCAGCATCATGTGAAACTAGGCATGAAGGTGCAAATCTGTAATCTCAGCACTCAAGAGCTAGAGCAGGAGGATTAGAAGTTTAGGTCATCCTCAGCTACACAACAAGTTCTAGGTCACTCTGGGCTAAAAGAGACTCTGTCTCAAAAAAAAATAATAATAATAGGGCTGGAGAGATGGCTCAGTGATTAAGAGCACTAGCTGCTTTCCTAGAGGACCTGGGTTCAGTTCCCAGCACCCACATGGCAGCTAACACCTAACACCAGTTCCAGTGGCTCCAAGGCCCTCTTCTGGCCTCTGTAGGCATTGCATGCACATGATACACTTACATACATGTAGGCAAAACACTAACATACACACATACATACACATATATTCCTTTAAAAATTAATAACAGAAATAAAGAAAATTAACAAAAAAAATAGCAGTTCAGGGCAGAAGACCCATTCAAGACCACAGACCTCAGAGCCCCTCCAACACAGGATCACAGCCCTGCTTGCCAACAGGTCTATATTCTTGAGAAACAAGTCAGGAAAGCTGGGCTTGGTAGCTGACACTTTAATCATAACACTCAGGAAGCTGAGACAGGAGGACTGCTGTAAGTTCAAGACCAGTCTGGTCTATATAGTAACAGGCCAGTCAGGGCTACATAAAGACAGCCTCAAAAACCAAAAAAATAAAGTTAGAAAGGAAGAAAGTTATAAAAGATTTTCTCCCCCAGTATCTTGGAGGAAAATTTCATTCCGGCCAGTAACATTTAGATTTTCAACAGAACAAGTCATCCCCCTACCCCCTGTGAACATAAATGTCTTGCTTGGTCTAGGTTGCCTGAGAAGCCAGAGTATACCTGGGCCTGCATGTGGGTGGTTAACTTGAAGGATTGAGCCGAGGAGGCAAGGGTGGAGAACAAGCAGGTAAGAGACCTAAGGGTGCATGGACACACTGGGCATCCTCCCACAGGCAACTAAAGCCTCTGAGGACCCTCTGAGAGTTGGGATTGGTTCTGAGGACTGTCTCCCTGGGGACCAGAGGGGAGCAGTCACCCACTCACAGGCTCCCTCACCCCTCTGGTGACGGCTGCTCTCCATGTTCACAGAACACAAACACGAGTCTGAGAAGCCCCAGTGTAGAAAGTAGGCAGGTGCAGCTGGGGCAGGTGGCTGCTGGGTGATGCCTGCACCAAGCCACAGTAACTTCTCTCTGTCCTGTGGTGTATAGTCAGTAAGTGAGCATGCATTTTTCAGAACCAGTTCTTTCTGGTTCCTCTAACACTTGGCTCTGCAGAGGCTCCTTCTTGGAGACATTGTTGGTTTTCAAAAGGTAAGCAAAGCCTATGCCCTGGACAAAGCATTACTTACAATTTCACATGAAACAAAAAGCCACACATGGCAGGAACATCCATTCTAAGAACTTGGTAAAGAAACAAAAAGCCAAAAATAAAAGCAAAATTCCCACACTTTAACAGTCAGGCCATGACCATTTACTTAGCTGAAACATGACCCTTAGTGACTCAGGATATCTTACAGACACCTGAAGCCCAACTTCTAACGATCCATGGCACCTTACAAAAATGGCTCAGTCTCAAGTAAAACAATTTATGATGTAAACTCGACTACTCAACAAGGTGATTATAACCACCTGTCCACCCAGATATGGTCCCCACACAAATGGCCCATGAGATAAGACCAAAGAACTCTAAAACAACTCCCATCCTCTCTCAGCACTGTGATTCCCTCTCAGGAAGCTGGCCTGCTGTATTTCAATTAGTTCTCCCTTTGTTCACTTCTTGGTCAGTCTTTCAGTGTCTGCACCACTGGCCTTCTACACATTGTTTTGTACAGAACTTGGCAGTTTTCTGTTTGCCTTTCCTTGTCTTTCTGACTTGTAGCATCCATGTATTTGGGTCCTACACTATTGGCTTCTCTGGGCAGGGCTGTTCTTCCTTGGGCTCTGAGCATTGGCTTCAAGGAACACCCTGGATGATGGTGGTTTGGCGACGGCATTCTGCATCGTGGTGGCAAAGGCAGCTTTCAGTGCATCAGTGGAGATTCTTACAGGAAAAGTGAGGCTGTGGCTGAACCTTGCACCATCCTCCTCGTGGCCCAGCTCCACGAGGCCCTGTCGCCTTCCTTCACACCCACTTGTCTGTCCCATACAGAGTTCTTTCTGGTTGCTTAGGCTTCATAGGTGTGGTACATGTACCCTAACAAAGGACCCCATGGTCCCACTCTACTCCCCTGTCTCAATATAGCCAAGAACAGGGCTGGCCAACCAGAGCACACCTGGATGTGCACAGCCCAAGTCCATTCTAAATGGTGGTGTCACACTCATGTCAAGTGTTCTTATTTTAACTATGTAACCAAGCACTGACTTAAGTACTTTTTAAAAAATTTAAAATTTTTATTTATTTTGTGTATATGAGTGTTTTGCCTACATGTATATAAGTGTACCCATGCATGCAATGTCTGAAGAGACCAGAAGAGGGTGTTGGATCTCCTGGAGCTGGTGTTATAGACTGTTAGCTGCCATGTGGGTGCTGGGAATTGAACCCAGATCCTCTGCAAGAACAGCCAGTGTTCTTAACTGCTGAGACATCTCTTCAGCCCTCCTTTTTTTTTTCTTGGTCTTTTTGAAGCAGGGTCTCTCTGTAGCCCCAGCTATCCTGGACCTCACTACTCACTATGTAGACCAGGCTATTCTTGAACTTACAGAGATCCGCCTGCCTCTGCCTCCCAAGTGCTGGGACTACAGGCATGTGCCACCACGCCCAGCCAGCCCTCCTTTTTTAAAAAAATATTTTATTTATTTTTATTTTATGTGTATGAGTGTATTGCCTGCGTGTATGTGAGTGCACCTGTGTCATGCAATGCCGCGGAGGTCAGAAGAGGGCTTTGGATTCCCCTTGAACTGGAGTTAAGGACGGTTGGTAGCCACCATGTGGGTGCTGGGAATCGAACCCGGGTCCTCTGTAACAGCAGTCAGTGCTGTTAACCGCTCTTCAGCCCCTATTTAGTTTATTATTATTTTATGTGTGTGACTGTTTTGCCTGCATGTACGTTAAGTGTACTCATGTCATGCAATGCCTATGCAGAAGAGGGCGTCAGATCCTTTGGAACTGGAGTTAAAGACTATTGTTAGCTGCCATATGGGTGCTAGACATGGAACCCAGGTCCTCTATAAGAGCAATCAGTGCTCTTAACCACTGAGCCATCTCCAGCCCTCATATTAAGCACCTTTAACCTATTATATCTCATCTCATTTGCATAAGAATTCTGTAAGATAAATAGGATAATTGCTGGGTGAGGAAACCAAAACCAAGGCACAGATTAAACAGAGGCAGTCCAAGCTGGGCATGGTGGTGCATGCTAGTACTTAGGAGGCAGAGGCAGGCAGATCTCTGTGAGTTCCAGGCCAGCATGGTCTACATAGCAAGTTCCAGGCCAGCCTGGGCTATATAGTAAGATCCTGTCTCCAAAAATCCCAACAATCCATAAACAGAGGCAGCTGAGAGTTGAGACAGGACTCAATCCTAGACAGTAAAATTTCAGTGCTCTGCCAGGCTCCTTGGTATTTCTTTGGGTTTTCTCCAGCTCGCCTGCTTCAAGCTTCCATGCTGGGCTTGGAATTTCAGCATTCTGTTCATTTTTACCCTTAGGTGCACGATCACCTAGCACTCCCTCAGACATGCTGAGAATCATCCATTTACCTGAGCCCTGCATGTGCAAGGCCCTGATCCAGATACTTTGACTAATGTCAAATGCTGGGTTTAGGCTTAAAGGAAAACTGCATGTGTGCCCGTTAACTCCAGCGTGTGTGTGCACACCCACCAGCAGCAAAGCTCCCATAAGAGCTATCACTGAAAAGGGGATTTACCACAACTGAGCACGATGGGACCGGGGAGCCAAGCTTCTCCTCTAAATGAGGGGCACAGGCAGCAAGGCAAGCCTGGGACCAGACTTTTTCTTGGATATGGAGCAAGTTCATTCCAGAACCTAAGGAAGGAAGGTAACAAAAAAACAACACATCTTGAAAAAAAAGGTCCTTTGGTGGGAACACGTGAAACTGGCAGAGAGCAGCTAATTTTCTAGTAGCAAATGCATGCCTAGGTCTGTTTTATACAACATACTGCATCCCCTGAAACCCAGAGCCAGAAGGCAGACGGCCCATGCAAACATAGCATACCACCACTTCCTTCAAGTACCCCTCATAACGCTCTAGTCTGCCTCTCTAAGACCTGCGAGGGATGGGGACCAATCAGCAACATATTAATCAAAAATGTTCCCCATGTCCCTTGGGTTTTAAAGCATTTATTCAGAGGTCAGCCCTTGGGGATTTCCCAATCTCATGGCCTTTTCCAGGAAAAGACATGTAACATCTCAGACTCTTGGCAAATGCCCTGGTGCTGGTCTGAGGGTAGCTCACTAGGTCTTTCCTCAAACAGCATACTTCTCCCCAGGTGTCCGACACCCGAGGATGGAAGGGGCCTGAGAATCCAGAGCACAGGTGAGGGACGGACAAGGTGAAGGCATGCTGAGATGGGCCAAGATGCTGAAGGTGGCGTGTGCCCCACTGAGAAGGTTAAATGGCTGATATGTTAGTAAGTCATTGTCCATACCCCAGTGGAGTAGTGGACAAGGAACATGAGCTTCTGGAGCAGCCACTGGAACAATGGCCTGGCTTCCTAGCAGCCCAAGCAGGTGTAGACCCCAGGGTAGACATGGAAAGCATGCAGACTATTCCAGGTTTACAGCTCTGTAGGGCTGAGTTGTGTGGATCTGACTGTATGCAGCCTTGTCTTCTCCATGTGGAGAGACGTTCAAGCCCTTCCAGTCACCATACTTTCTCCCTGAAACCAAAATAAAGCCACAGCACTCAAAACTCCACTGGAAGGGCTAAAGAGCTGGCTCAGCAGTTAAGAGCACTGGCTGCTCTTGCAGAGGACCCAAGTTCACAGCACCCACATGGTGGCTAACAACCATCATAACTCCAGCTCCAGGGGGATCTGACGCCCTCTTCTGGTCTCCATAGGCATTGTACAACATGGATGCACTTACCTATATGCAAGCAAAACTCACACACATAAAAATAATTTTAAAAAAATGGGGCTGGAGAGATGGCTCAGTGGTTAAGAACACTGGTTGTTCTTGCAGAAGACCTGGGTTTGAATCCCAGCACCCACATGGCAGCTAACAACTACCTGTAACTCCAGTTCCAGGAGATCTGACGGCCTCTTCTGTCCTCCGCGGGCACTGCACGACACAGGTGCACTTGCCTTCTACATGCAGGCAATATACTCATACATATAAAATAAAAATAAAATTAAAAAATTAAAACCCTCCACTGGTGGCACATGCCAGCACTTGACAGGGAGGAACCAGAAGGATCAAGAATTCAAGGTCACTCAGGAATAATGTCACGTGCCTTTAATCCTAGAGGCAGAGGCAGGCTGAACTCGGATCCAGATCAGCCTGGTCTACAAAGTTCCAGATCAGCTGGGGCTACAGGGAGACCCTGTCTCAAAAAAAGACCAAAAAAAAAAAAAAGATTTAAGGAACCCATGAAGGTCAAAGCATCTGAGTACTCCTTTCTGAAGCCACATCCATAGGTCTGGGCTCTGGCTCCGCATTGTCTCTTTATTATCTTTGTTGTCATTATTGTTGTTTTGAGACAGGGTCTCATTGTGTAGCCCTAGCTGACCTTAACGGAAGCCCAGCTTCCGTTATCTTTTTAAAAGCATTTTTCCCATTATGTGTATATGCATGTGTCTGTTTGTGGGTATGTGCCCATAGAGGCCAGAGGCATTGGATGCCCCTGGAGCTAGAGTTACAGGTGGTTGTGAGCCACCCAACACTGGTGCTGGGAACCAAACTTGGGTCCTCTGCAAGAGCAGTATGTGCTCCTAACTGCTGAGCTACCCCTCCAGCCCCATGTCTCTTATCTTTATATTCTCTGCTATGGTTTGTGTCCCTCAAACATTAAGTGTTGGAAACTGAACGCTCACATTCATATGAATTTGGAAATGAAGTCTTTGGGAGATAAGTAGGACTAGAGGTGGCACAAGGATGGGGCCTTATGATGGCAGCACAGCTGTTCCTTAGATTGACTTTTACTGTTTTGTGTATATATCTGTCTGTGGGTAGGTGCACATGCATGCAGATAAGCCCAGAAGGGAGTGTTAGATCCCCTGGAGATGGAGCTACAGGTGGTTGTGAGTCAACGACACAGGTGCTGGAGACCAAACTCTGGTCCTCTGTAAGAGCAGTATATGCTCTTAACCTCTGAGTCACCTCTTCAGCCCCACATTAGTGGCTTTCTAAGAGAAAAAGCTGTGAGCTAGCACACTGGCTGTTTGACCAAGTGATGCCTTTATATGATGAAGTACAGCCTCTCCAGCTGCCAAGCAGGTACCTGGGCCATGATCTTAGACTCCCACTCTTTGGGCCTGTGAGTCAAAAAACCTTTTTTTTTTTTTTTAATTTCTTTTTGATACAGGGTCTCAGATATCTCAGGTTGTCCCCAAACTCATGATGTACCCACGGATGACCTTGAACTTCTGATCCTTCTCCCTCTAACTCCCAATTCCCAGTTTTACATGATGTTAGGAATTTCCTTGCTTGTATGTGTGTACATGTGTGCAGGTATCTGAGGAAGCCAGAGGCACTGGATCTCCCTGAAGCTGAAGTTTTAGGGGGTTGTGAGCCACCCACCATGGATACGGGGAACTAAACTCTGGTCCTCTGCAATATCAGTACATACCCTTAACCACCAAGAGCCATCAGTGGTTAGGGCTCTACCAACTGAGCCATATCACCAGCCCCGAAATTAGCTTCCATTTTTCATATATTACCTAGTCTCAGGTATTTTATCTTAGCAACAGGAAATGGACTAAGATACTCTTGGATTCCTCTACAAGTTCTTGCAGCAATTTCCTTCCAGCTTCTCCTCCCTGCTGGCATTTCCATTTAATTTTTATCAGTTTTGATACACAGTTCTGAGCTAGGCATGGTGGCACATGTTTGTAATCAAAGCACCTCAGGAGGCAGAGACAGGAGGACTGCTGTAAGTTTGAAGCCAGCCTGGCCTACACAATGAGCTCAAGGCTAGCTTGGGCTACATAGCTAAATTCTGTCTCAAAAAACTAAAACTTTGGGGCTGGAGAGATGGCTCACACACACACATATACACACACACACACACACACACAATTAAATAATTTTTTTTTTTGGTCTTTTTGAGACAGGGTCTCCCTGTAGCCCTAGCTGTCCTGGAACTCACTATGTAGACCAGGCTGGCCTTGAACTCACAGCAATCCTCCTGCCTCTGCTTCCCAAGTGCTAGGATCAAAGGCCTGTGCCACCATGCCCAGCGACAATAAATCTTTTTTCAAAAACCTAAAAAACAATCTGGAGAGATGGCTCAGCAGTTAAGAACACTGGTTGTTCTTGCAGAAGACCTGGGTTCAAATCCCAGCACCCACATGGTAGCTAACAACTGTCCATAACTCCAGTTCCAGGGGATCCGACAGCCTCTTCTGACCTCCTCGGGCACGAGTGCACTTAACTACATGCAGGCAATGCACACATACACATAAAATAAAAAAACAAAAAACAAAAAACCTAAAAAACTGAAAAACAAAACAATGCTGAGTGTGGTGCAAACATCTATAAAATCAGCATTTAGGAGGCAAAGGCAGAAGGATCAGGAGCTCAAAGTCATCCTCAGCTTTAGAGCAAATTCAAGGCCAGCCTGGGCTACATGAGACCCTGTCTCAAAAAAATAAAATTAAATAATGAGTAAGAAAAATAGACACTTAAAAAAAAACACTTATAATTCTCATGAATTAGCCAAATATGAAAAACTACAATATGTAGTAGGCTCCGAGATGGTTCTTGATCTTTACTTCTGGCATTTACACCTCATGAGGTCCCCTCAACTCTGTAGTATCCATACCTCGTGAGGTTCCCCCAACCCTGGGGTGTTCACGCCTTGTAAGAGCCCCAATCCTATGGTGTTCACACTTTGTGAAGTCCCCCAACCCTGTACCAGGATGGTCAGTGAAACCAGAAGGATGAAGCTCAAGGAATAAGCCTGTCGCTTCCAAGTTTGGCACAGAACAAACCCTGTGGTTTTGGCTAGCCCCCTTCTCTCATTATTCTCCTCCCTCCCTCCTTCACTCTGTCCCTCCAATGTTATTAACAGCCTTATAGAGGGGCTTCAGAGGCCTCCTGCCAAATTCTGAAGTAGATCCCCCAGCCCCAATGGAGCCCTCAGTCCTGGCTACCAGCTTGCCTGCTACCTTCTGAGTGATCTCATTGAGCCAGGACCACCCAGTTCAGCCACTGCCATATTTTGGATCCTCAGGTACAAATGACAACTTAACATTTGCCATTTTCAGCCACTAAGTGATGGAGTCATTTGTGACACCACAGAAGAGAACTAGGAACAATCCCTTTCCTGAGAAATCATGAGTTGCATGATTGGCACCCACCCAGACTGGATGAGACTCTCGCTGTCCCCGTGGCTATCCTGTATGCGAACAAGCCCTCACTGCAGACTCTGGAAGCTTACCATCACTGTAGTCGATGGGGGAATATGAGCCCAGGAAGAGGGAAGCAGCAAAGCTGCTGACCAAGGAAATTCTCTGTGAAAAAAGGAAGCACAGTGAGAGAGGACTTACTCCACATACCCTAAGCTAATGGACATGCCATATACACACATAAACATGCCATGAAGCGCTTTCAGTTGGCAAGGGAAGTAGAAATTTGAGCAGGTAGTGGTAGAAACAGAGTAACCATACAGAAGCAGCCAGAGTTCTGAGTAGTGCTGGTTTAGGCCACAAAACCCTCATGACCGATGAAGACAAAAGCCAAGGTCCTGTAAGCATGCTGTGCCTAGGGAGCTGGTTTTCCATGTGGAAATCACACACCACCGTTTCCTTCCTCCATTTTTGTGACTTGGTCGTCTGCTCCCAGAGAAGTGGAGGTGTGGACACAGGACACAGAATGAACCAAGACTTTCAAAGCCAGAACAAGTTTAAAGACAAACTGGCCCCCTAAAAATACCCAAATGTGCCCCCAAGAGAATGACTGATGGACTATAAGCATCAGGCTGAGGGTTTGTGAATGCAGGCAGAAGGATCCAATACCCTCTTCTGGCATCCACAGGCACCAGGCATGCATGTGGTATACTTACATACATGCAGGCAAACATACACTCAAAAACATAAATTAAAAATAAATCCTTTTTTAGTATTTTTTGAGACAGGGTCTCCCTGTAGCCCCAGCTGGCCTAGAACTCACTTTGTAAACTATGTTGGCCTCAGTCTCACAGAGATTTGTCTGCTCTGCCTCCCAAGTGCTGGAATTAAAGACGTGCAACACCTCACGCAGCTAAATAAATCTTTTTTAAAAAATGAGAAAAGACAGTTTTTTGTTTTGGGATTTTTTTGTTTTGTTTTGTTTTTTTGCCTTTATATTCTTATACAGGCACAGCTTTGATATCTCCACAGAAGCCAACATTAATAACTCAAAATAATAACATCATTTTTTATGACTGGAAGCTCAACAGGCTTATTTTTATCAGTATCACCACAATCGTGAGCAACGCCCCAATGTCAGGACAGCTATGATGTCATCAAGTGAGAGAAGCTTCTCAGCTCCACTGTAATTGCTTTCCTTGTTTTGCAGTGCTGGGGATGGAACCCAGGACCTTGCATATGCTAGGGAAGTGCTCTACTACTGAGCTACACCTCTTAAGCCCATAGCTCTACTATGTCATTTTTTGTTTTGTTTTAAGACAGACTCTTGGGGCTAGAGAGATGGCTCAGCAGTTAAGAGCACTGGCTGCAGAGGACCTCAGTTCAGTTTCCAACACCTACATGGTGGTTAACAACTGTTCGTAATTCCAGTCCCAGGGGATCTGATGCCCTCTTCTGGTCTCCGTAGGCACTGCATGACACAAGTGCACTTAAACACATGCAGGCATAACACTCATAGACATAAAATAAAAATTAAGAAATTTAAAAAATTTTAAAGATAATCTTTTTATGTATTTCAGGATAAACTGAAACTTGTGATTCTCCTGCTCCAGCCTCCCAAGTTCTGGAAAAACAAATGTAAAGCTCCCACTATCACTGAAGGACTGAAATGCTGTTAGGAAGCAACAGGCTCACTTACTGCTTTTTTTTGTTGCCAGGGATGGAACCCAAGGCCTCTACCACTGAGCTGCACCCCAGCCCCTGTGCATCTTTTTACATTTATCTATTGTGTGTGCATGCGTGCATGTGTGTGTAGGTCAGAGGAAAACCTGCAAGACTCAGTTCTCTCCTACACTGGATCCTGGGGATCAAACTTACTCAATCTCTTGGGGGCACAACTGGATCGCTTTTAGGAGGCCAGTTTGTCTTTAAAATATTTATTTTTTATTTTATGTATATGAGTATATTGCCTGCATGTATGCAAGTGTACCCGTGTCATGCAATGCCTGAGGTGGTCAGAAGAGGGTGTCCAATCCCCTGGAACTGGAGTTAAGGATGGTTGTTAGCTGCCATGTGGGTGCTGGGAACTGAATCCTGGTTCTCTACAAGAGCAGCCAGTGCTCTTAACCACTAAGCTATCCCTCTAGTTCCTAGTTTATCTTTGAATTGAGTACCCATCACATCCTCCACACAGACCCAGGTCATCAGGCTTGGAAGCAAGCACCTTGATCCTCTGAACCATCTTGTCAGTCCCTCTGTGCATCTTTTTTAAAAAATATTTTATTTACTATTTTTATTTTATGTATATGAGTGTTTTGCCTGCATGTAGGTAGGTGCACCTGTGTTATGCAGCATTCATGGAAGTCAGAAGAGGGTATCAGATCCCCTGGAACTAGAGTTTCAGATAGTTGTTAGCTGCCATGTGGGTGCTGGGAATCAACCCAGGTCCACTACAAGAACCAGTGCTCTTAACTGCTAAGCCATTTCTCCAGCTCCTATGCATCATTTTTTAAACACCTATTCACCAAAGTTAGCCAATGCACACAAGATGTTTATTTTAAGGCAAGTATTATAAAAGGAGCAAACATGAACACTGAACTAACCTCCGTGTCTGAGTAGGCCTCAGGGTTCTGCTGGAAAACCTTTGCAATTTGGTTTCCGGTAAAACGCTGGAAATAAAGTATTGTTTTCAGAAACCCAAATCTTACACAGAGTAATCAAACCCACAGTGAGTTAGTGCAGCACGCTTAGGATATGAAGTAGAATATTAACAGCTTTGAAAAGTGCCCATGGAGGTCAGAAGAGGGCGTTGGATCCTCTGGGACTGGGATTATGAACTGCTGTTAGCTGTTATGTGGATGCTGAGAACCAATCCCAGGTCCTCTGCAAGAGCAGCCAGTGCTATTAACTGCTGTGCCACCTCTCCAGCTCTCCTAACTAGGTTTAGGGTTGGCCCTACCTCCCAAATCTCTACTTCAGTGACAGTCATGTGACTCAAGACAATCAATCAAAGTAAACTCTGGGACAGTGGCTAAAGCTGGCCAGGCTCTGACTCCTTTCAGCTTCAAAACTAAATCAAATGTTAAGTCCTATCTGCTACTCCTAGATTACAGGAGGATGATCCTGAGGTGGTACCATCATCCTCCAACACAGCAGCTCTAGTGAGAAGTAAAGCCATATTGACACTCCAGTTCTGGACCACATACATGTATGTTGCTACTGCCTGAGGAGTACAGAAGGAAGCAGGACAGTCTGGATCAGGTTTCAGGGGCCAACATGTTCCTTCCTGGCTTCAGGGGCCAGCATCAGTGTCACATCATGTGACCCCTTCCCCTTAGAGGCTGAGTACCCATCACATCCTCCCAGACACCCAAGGATGGATGAGCCCCACTCCCAAGCATGGCCTGCATATTGCCCACCTCATAGGCTCGAGACCCTGTGAGGCAGCTGAGAGCCTGGGCCCCACCCACAGCAGCTTCCAGCAGGCGGCACTGGGCTGTGGTACTGGAGTCCATCCATATTGGGCAGTCATTGATGGAAAAGCAGGCCTGAAAAGAAAGGCAGAGATCAGGTTTCTACTCCACCACTGACTCCAGACAACCCCAGTGGCTGGCAGTCACACTCCCCATCAGAGCAGGAAGGACCCCTGGGCAAGCCCTCTGCTGGACCAGTGAGATCTCTCCAGAAAGTCTGATGTTGGACGATCTCTTCTATTAAGGTGAGGGTGCCTGGACATATCAGGCAGCAGAGGGCAATAATGGTGGCAAAGTGCAGGCTTAGCAGGGGCTTTAGAAACACAGGAGAGAGGCTGGAAAGATGGCTCAGCAGTTAAGAGCACTTGCTGCTTTTGCTGAGTATGCAAGTTTGGTTCCCAACACCCACATATTGGTTCACAAATGCCCATTAACTCCAGTTCCAGGGGACCAGATACCCTCTTCTGGCCTCTGTGGGCACTGCAAGCACGTGGTGCAATTACGTGCATGCAGTTAAAATAAACACATAAAAGAATAAAAAAAGAAACACAAGAGAAAGGGGAAAACTAAAGTCCCTGCCTTTCCAGCAGTATCACCAAGAGACTGACAGTCATTCTGGGAAGGAAGAGACACACTGGTGAGGAGTCACTGGCCAGGGAGACTCCAAACTACTGGACCATGCTCACCGAACTACTGCCAAATCCACCTTCTCACACTCAGGACAATGCATGGAAGCCCATGGACACAGGGTCCACAGGATGTGGGGATCCTCTGTCTGCTCCGCAGAAGTTTCTCAAATTCACAAAATATATTTACCTGCAACTGCTGGTGTAACGGGAGAGCTGGTGACAGGCTCATCAGTGCCTGGCTGGCTCCAGCCTTCCAGTAAACACTTCCATGTTGCTGTTGAGGGAAATGCAAATATACCCTTGATTCTTAGCCTCTTGGAGACACAGACCCAGATCACAAGCCAAACAACTGGTCTCTAAGCCTGTCTCCACCACCTTCGTCACATAGCTCATCACATTTATTTTATTTATTTATTTATTTATTTTTTATTTTTTATTTATTTAATTGAGACAGGGTCTATAGTTCCTGCTGGCCTGGAACTCGCTATGTAAACCAGGTTGGCCAGGCACTCACAGAGCTCTGCCTACCTCCTGAGTGCTGGGATTAAAAGTGTGGGCCACAACGCCTGGTTATTTATCTTTATATTTGGTTTCACTTTTATAAAATGAGGAACTTCTCCCTATCACCTCAAATCTTGTAGGAAGGGTTCTAGAATTACTAGTATTTTGGCATCTTTTGTAAAACTGTATTTGTATTTTAAAATACCACTTATAGTATTAACTGAATTTCACTCATCCCATTTATTCATTTAACAAACATATTAGAGGTCAGGTATGATGGTTATATGCCTTTATACCCAGCACTCAAGAGGCAGAGGAAGCAGATTTCTGTAAGTAAGGTAAGCCTGACCTACACAGAGAATACCATGACCAGCCAGGGCTACACAGTTGAGACCTGATCTCAAAATAACAAGAAACAAACAAACATATTGGAAACCAGGATGATGCCAGTCATGAAAAATATAAAGGTTATCAATGACCCTATTTTCCAGGACACCAGCATTGAGTGAGGGAAAGACGCAAAAGCACAATTACAAAACCCCAGAGGGCTTGGGATGACTTAGTAAAAGTGCTTGCCTTGCAAGCATGAGGACCTGAGTTCAGATCCTCAGAACATACATTCAAAAAAAACAATCTGGATGTGGTTGTACATGCTTATAATCCCAGCATTAGGGAGGCAGAAATAAATGGATCCCTAAGGTTCACTGGCCAGTCAGCCTAGCCTACTTGGTGAACTCCAGGCAGACTCTGTCTTAAAAAACAAGGATTCCAGGCATGGTGGCACATGCCTTTAATTCCAGCACTTGGGAGGCAGAGGCAGGCAGACAGATCTCTGTGAGTTCAAGACCAACCTGGCCTACATAGTGAGTTCTAGGCCAGCTAGGACTATATAATGAAATCCTGTCTTTAAAAAAAGAGGGGGGGCTGTAGAAGGCTCCTAAGGAATGATGCGGAGCGTGGAGACATGTATTTGTCTTAGACTGCTTAAGCCTACATGATTGCGATAGAGAGAGACAGGTTCTATCTTGTTTCACTCATTACTATTTTGGGTCTCTGTAATACTGCTGAGTCTGGATTATAGTAATGTTGTCTATCCATAAGAGTAAGATTATTATTTTTTTTATAGAGCAGTCTGAAACTACATCTGTGCTCTGAAAATTATTTTTTCTTTGTCAGTAAAAGACATTACCATTCAACTAGTTTGGCTAGGTAAAAAATTTAGGAGTCTTCCAGGCATGGTGGCACATGCCTTTAATTCCAGCACTTGGGAGGCAGAGGCAGGCAGACAGATCTCTGTGAGTTCAAGACCAACCTGGCCTACATAGTGAGTTCTAGGCCAGCTAGGACTATATAATGAAATCCTGTCTTTAAAAAAAGAGGGGGGGCTGTAGAAGGCTCCTAAGGAATGATGCCCAAGGTTGTCCTATGACCTCCATGAGTACGTGCATACATGGGCATATGCACATATGTGTATGTGTAGCCACACATATACCATGTATGCCTATGGAGTTAAGGTGATGAGCCATGGGAACACAGAGAACCTACTCAGCAGGTGTCCAGATGGGTAGCATGGACAGCAGTGTGAGGACAGAGATGGATGTGTGGGTACTCCATGCAGAGAGCAATAGCTGGTGAGACAGCAGAGTAGGCTGGAAGAGGGTGGCATTCTAAGCGGTGGTCCTGAGGCTGGGGCCACAGCCTAAAGACAGATGGGCTAAAGGGAGGAAGCAGTTTGAGCGTCCCATAGTCTTAAAATCTAGATTCAGGAGGTTTGAGGCCATCTTGGAGGTGCTGAGAGCCCCAGGCTAGCAGGGCAGTGATGTGGCTAGGTCTGAACTGATGAAAGGGCTTGTGAGAGTCAGAGAGATGGAAGCTGGTGGCTGGAGGCAGCAACAAAGGCCCAGAGAGAAGTGGCAGATACTTGACCTGAGGCAACAGGGGCAGTGCTGGCAGACAGGTGGAGGGCTCAAGAGTTCTGTATATATCAAGCGGACATGGGGACCTCTTGAATATGGGGTGGGAAGATGGAACAGTTGAGATGACCCTTGGGAAGACAGGGACAATTCCCTGAGAAAGAAATGAGGAAGATGTGGGAAAACAGATGGAATGCTCCTACCAGCTACATGATCTGGGGCAAGTGGTATCACTTCCCTGGGCCTCAGTTTCCTCAAGTGAACATCAATGATAATAAGAACAGTAGCTGGGCCAGTGAGGTGGCTCAGTGGGTAAAGGCACCTTCCACCAAACCTAATGACCTGAGTTTGATCCCCAGGAACCATATGGTAGAAGAAAAGCAAGTTCTGGAAACTCTACACATGTGAGCTCAAGCTCAAGCACACACACACACACACACACACACACACACACAATAAGTAAAAGTAATTTTAACAAAGAACAGTATGGGGCTGTAGAGATGGCTCAGTGGTTAAGAGTGCTGTCTGCTCTTAACCAGACATGGTATCAACATGCCTTTAGTCCCAGCACTTGGGAGGCAGAGGCAGGTAGATCTCTGTGAGTTCAAGGCCAGCTTGATCTACATAGCAAGACCCTATACAGGGAGACCCTTTTAAAAAAAAAAAAAAAAAAAAAAAAAAAAAAAAAAAAAAAAGAGTGCCTTCTGCTCTTACAGAGGACCCAGTTTGAGTTCCCAGAACCCACTTGTAACTCCAATTCCAGGGGATCCAGCACCCTCTTCTGGCCACTTCCTGCATATATGTGGTACATATACATACACTCAGACACATACAACAAATAAATACCGGAGCTGGAGAGATGGTTGAGTGGTTAAGAGCACTGGCTGCTCTTGCATAAGACATGGGTACTGTTCCCAGCACCCACGTGGCAGTTAACAACCATCTCTAACTCCAGTTCCAGGGGATGCAATGCCCCCTTATGACCTCCATGGGCACTGCACTCATGTGATACACTTACATACATGCATGCAGGCAAAACACTCATAAAATAAAATAAAAAAATAATGAATCAAAAATATATAAATACTTGGCTGGGCATGGTGTTGCACACCTTAATTCCAGCACTTGGGAGGCAGAGGCAGAGGCAGGTGGATCTCTGTGAGATTGAAGCCAGCCTGGTTTGTACAGTGAATTCCAGGCCAGCTGTGGTTACAGGCAGACCCTATCTCAAAAAGACCAAAAATTGGCTGGGTGTGGTGGTGCACACCTTTAATCCCAGCACTCAGGAGGCAGAGGCAGGCAGATCTCTTTGAGTTCAAGGCCAGCCTGGTCTCCATAGTGAATC